CTGGACAGTGATACTTGGGTTCTGGAGTCAAATCTCCCATGGTGACCTCTAAAGGGATATTCCCTTCAGTCTCCTATAAAATCTCAATCCACTCCTTACCAGTTATACTTTATAATTCAGTTTCCCACCTGCTACCATTTGCAGATTGCCGAATGTACCATAAGCTGGATAAGACCCTAACTTCCCTTCTGGAAAGGTGCAGCACTTTCCCCTTTCCTCCTTCCTCCTAAGGCCTATGCTGTCACCAAGCACCACTGGGCCAACGTAGGAGGGAGAGGTCCTGGGAGTGGGGGATGTTAAGGACCTGAGATGAGGGGCAGCAGAGGACCATGAGGTTGGGGTGCGGTGCAGGGGAGGGGTCAAGGTACGCATGGGCTGATCCGTGCCCATGGCTGCAGCTATGCCTCCTATTCTTGACAGCTTCCAGAAGCTGCTGCCTGATGAAGGAAGCTCTCAGCAGCTCTTATATCAACAGGGCTCTACCGCTGTGTGCCAAAGAACACCTGTCACATCCCCGCAGCCACACAGGGAGAATGTGGACGCTTCCCCCTGGCAGAGGCTTCCCACTCTCCTCTCACTGAGCACCTCCTACCTCTGGCCTCTCCATCACCAGGCTGGTCCACAGCTTCCTCGGATCTTGTGTGTTCACCCACATCCCTTACTGCCTCTCAGCTCCCAGAGTCCCTGCTTCCCCTGGAAGGAATTTCACCCCAGCCACTTGCACTTTCCCTCTGTGCTCCATTGCCCCCTGATCCCGTCACAACACCACAACCCTGGTGGGACACACAAGTGAGTTGGAACTTGGTCACCACCAATTCTCAGATCTCAAAATTCTGGGGACCCAGTTCCAACAGAATTGGATCCAGTTTTTCTGGGGTCTGCCCGCTCTGCACAGTGAATCCTTGGTGGCTGCTGCCTGGATCTCTCAGAATCCTCCTCTACAGCCTCCCCCATTTTCATTCAACAAAACTCAAAATCTTTCCACAGTTCAGGGGCAGGATAAAATGTGTCCACAGCCCCTGTCTTCTCTGGACCTCCAAACCTCTCCCTTGATTCTCTCTACCACCAAACTCCAGCCCGCTCGTCTAGGTCAGGTCCAGTCTCAGGCCCATCTGCAACATTTTCCCCCCACCCTTCCTCCCACATTATTCACCCCACTTTGGGTGCAGCTTGGCCTACACCCCATAATAATCCACAACATCTGATCCCTGCTGAAACTCGATACCCAGGAGGGTCCTTCTTAAGAACACAGACCCTGAGTGAGTGAGCTCCACAGTCAACGGTCCAAAGCTCTCAGGAGGTGTATAGCCCTTTCCTTCCCAACCTTTGCCAAAACCACTGGCCCTCTGCCACCCCTCCTAAGGGTTATTCCATGAGCCTGGAGCACTGGAGACTACTGGAGCAACACATTCAAACGTTGTTCATTCAACGCCAGTGTGATGTCCCCAACAGGACCCAAGAACTTTGAGATCTCAAACAGGCTCAGGGTGACGTAATTCATACATGTCAGGCAAAGGACAAACCTAGGCCTTCAGACGGGACGGGAAATGGGGGCCATAGTCTAGGTAACGTCCCCAAAGACCTCTCCAGGGCCTTGGAAAGCTGCTCGGTAAACTTTCCAGGGGCAAATTCTGCACAGTCAGAGAAATAGATGCCAAACATCATGGACAGTGATGTAGGAAATGACAAGAGTCGCCTTGAAGACACACTGAAAATGCATTTGGGTGTGAAGTCAAGGCAGATCCAGGAGGGTCTGATCCCTTTGAGATTGCAGATCCAGGAGGGTCTGATCCCTTTGAGATTGCGCCGGTCCTCGCTTTCTGCCCAAAGAGCTTAGGCCACCCACACAGACAGCAAAATTCTGGTCATCTTCAGGAGTCACAGAAGATTCCCTCTCTTAACCTATGTACTCTGAAGACCCTGGAGGTGCACATTACAAGGCTGCACCAAGGAAGTGCAGAAGGTGAAGTTAGAGCCAGAGAAGGACTGGGCCTCGCCCTCAGGCTTACTGATCCTGAAACATCAGTACTCACAGAAGAGAAAGAACCATGTGTCTGCCCTGGTGAGGCCAGTAGGAGACCCATCCCAGAAAAACAGGAATACTAAGGCCACAAAGCTTTTCAAGTTGAAGAGGCTCCACCAACATCCCTTCCACAGGTGTGCCTTGAGGTGACCTTACCATTGCAGATGCCACATTCCTGGAGAAAAGCCCCTCAGGCATGTCTGAGACAGAAGGTGACACTCACTGAGTCTGTCCCTACACTGGGCAGACTCCTGTTCTCCTCACCTGTGTGTAAGGAGACTGAGAAGGCCCTAACAGGGATCCCACCTAGTGATGCCCAGAGATCCTTAAAGGACCTTCCCACTGGACAGGGCAGCAGGAAGCCTTCCCAGAGACTGACATCCGGTCTCACTGGCACAGCCTGGGAGAAGAAGCATCCTGGGCACCAGCAGACGCAGCCTAGAAGTCCCCGTGATGCCTGCAACACCTGTCTTCCAAGACAGAGGAGAGCCAGGCCTTCAGCCAGGCATCGGGAGTGAGTTTCAGCAGGGAGCGGAGATGAGGTCAGTGAACCAGACTCAAGTCTGTGCCCCAGGTGCCCAGTTTCCAGACTCTTCCACTGATGGGCTTAAAGCTGCAAACAATTTGTCTTCTGTGGCATCCCACAGCTATCTCCACAACACGTCTCTTGGGGACAGGAGAGCTTCACAGATGTTAGGTGACCTAAAGGCAGACAGAGAGAGGATCCTGAGGCAGCACAAGACCAGGATCCAGAAACACCAGTACTCACAGAAGAGAGTGAGCTAATAGTGGTGAGGACAGTAGGAGACCCATCCCAGAAAAACATGAATACTTTGGGACCTCCACATCCTCCCAAGGCAGGGGAATGAAAGACACATTTGAGCAGAAACACTTTCAGACCTTTTCACAAAGGAAACCAGTTCATTCAGAAGGATACTTCCAAAGAAGCATGAGGACATTTTTACTATGGACTTTTCCCCAGAAAAGAATCAAAGAGTACAAGGAAACCCAGAGAAAAGGCAAGCCCGCATCGTCCTCTGGGCAGAGCCAGAGACCAGGCAAAAGCAGCTCAAGTGTGGACCACAAAATTGCTGAGACTCAAGCTCATGCAAGATGCTGGATTGATGCACAAAGCAAACAAGTTAGTTAAGGGTGAACTTTGTGCCTTGGGATTAAATCAGCACAAAGAGGAAGAAGATCAAGGCTCAGTGTCCCATGTTTACTGCAGCCACTAGCCTTGTGGACCCTCAGAGCACAGGAGAATGCTGGCATGTGCAGCCACCCCCAGATGCCACAGCTATGCTATCAGGGAGAGGCACCCAGTGACCAAGAGTCCTTCAAAACTGGACAGCTCGGGACTGGGGATTTAGCTCAGTGGCACAGCACCTGCATGGCAAGTGCGAGGTCAGGAGTTTGATTCCTGGTACCCAAAAAAAAAAAAAACCAAAACACTGGACAGTTCATCAGTGAACAACAGGGACATAACTGGAAATGGTGCTGTGCGGCCGGCCTGTGTTCCCATTTAGCCCATCACAGCTGAGGCCAACAGTGCGCAGGTCCTCAGGGCACCGGTAGTACTGCCTGAGGAATCAACTCCTTTAAGGAGCTGTCCAGTCTGCTCAGCCAGAAAATTTCTCGCCATTCTTTCCTGGTAGTAAAAGACATCTCCAAAAAAAATTAAGTACAAAAAACTTTTCTCATATTATCCATCCATGAAAATTACCATTGCCCAATATACCTACTTTTCCTCCCAAGAGGGTAATGGCTTCTGTCTTATCTGTGCTTGGTGACAGCCACGGCATCTCCAAGGGACGGGGTGTTGTGGTGTGTGACACAGAGGTGCAAACATACTCTTGCCCTGAGTTCCTCCACCGATCCTCAAGTTTCCCTAATGCCATCATTTCAGGAACAAAATGAAACTCTCACAGCTGAGGGAAACAGGATGATCACACTGCAGCATCTGGTTCAAACCATCATCCATCACTGTAGGGAGCGGGGGCCGAGACACCTCAGGCCAAAAATTCCCCCACAGGCTCCAGCAAAAGTAGAGCCCCATAGGTACACCTGTCTTAAAGTGGGTGGCACTGGGTGTAGGAGGACACTGAGCTCTGAGTTCTGAGGCCAGACAAATCTTGCCCTTAATCTCTTCATGGAGATACACGCTGCCTGTCCCTGCGTAGACCCTTCTCTTCCTGGCAAAGGCCAGGATGGAGACAGGCACACTTGGTTCAGCCTTATGGAAAGTTCAGAGGCCCCATTCCTGGGCCTTGGTCCGCCTCATGCTCTAGAGCCCTGATAAGGATAGAAAACACAGCTCTGTGTAGGACCCTGGGTGGGGAGTGCTCAGGGAGCCCGCTGAGGGCCATGTCCACCTCTGCTGCAAGTAAGCAGCGGCTCTGCTCTTGGGTACCCTCCCTCTGTCTATCGCACATCTATCTCACATCTGTCTCACTTCCAGGCCACAGTTCTGGGTGGATGGAACAGAAAGTGCCTGTGTGCAGGAATGTCCATTCCTGGGGACTGGGGACTGAGCTTAGTATGTGGAAATATGAAAGAAGCTGGAGCCAAGGAAGGAGCACAGGGCACGAGGACAATGAATAGTATGAGAAACTAGGCACGCCTGAAGTCGGTCTGCCATCCACCAGCATGGAAAGGAGACTTTACGGGCTCAACCTGAGAGCCCAGCTGTTCAGATCAAACATCACGGAGCTGGAGAAACCACCTGCAGCTCTCACACAAAAGGCCAGAATCAAGAGGGAGCAAGGCAAACTGGAGAAGATTAAGTCATGTAATCCATCTGATAAGTGCCTCTGTGCCCACCTCACCCATTTTAGAGGAAAAAAGCTCAGGCAAGGAAACATGATTTAAGTTTGATGACCCTTACATAGGTATGTACACAGACGCAGGACACTTCTTGGACTAGGGGACTCAGACATGTGAAGGGGCTGCCCTCATACACCAAGGCTTGCCTGAGTCCCAGCCCATGCTTACCGCAGAGACCACGGGGAAAGCGGCATCCCACAGGGTGTGCATAGACAAGAAGGCTAGAAATTACCTGTGCAATGGGCTCGGCTAGGGGAGCAATGTCTGCTCTGCCCTCACTCTGCTTCCTGCGTGGTTTCCCTTCCTCTGGGACAGCATCCTTATTGGAAAGCAGAGGCACCCAAAGGCAAGGAGAGGAGCAGCCATTTCTCCAGAGAGTACTCCCTGTGCTGTGTGGCATGCCTCATTCCTGGGGTGAAGGCTGACTCAGACGAGGAGAAAGAATCCTGCCCCACATGTGTGATTGGGTTGGTACCTCCAGTCTGGCTGCAAGTGCCCTCGCCTTCCCTGGAGCCAGATCCTCTCTCGGGGGCCTGGATTCTTCCATCAGCCTACAGAGGAGCCCCAGGCGTAAGAGTGGAGCCAGCACTTGAAGGAGAGGCCCTGGACCACAGAGTGGCCCAGTCCCTTGAAAACTAAGAAGAAAGTGGCACACATTGGGGACCCTGACCTCAGAAAGGCTTATGCCTGGCGCGGCTGGGTTCTCAGGACCCCATGATGTATGTTCTGGAATGTGGAGGACCTGGACGTGGACCCCAGGGCTCCTGCCAGGAAAAGTGCTATAAGCTGGATAAGCAGATGGGCCAGGCACAACACGCAGAACTATGCTCTTTTTTCCTCCGATGGCAGTTTCCACAAGGTGTAATAAAGTCAGCAGTGAAGACCTCCAGACACCTCCCAGAGGACCTCCAAAGAGAGCTCCTAGACAGCACACAGAGACTTCTCACTGCCCCATGAGTGTTTTATATACTGAAACCTTCCTCCAAGACTTCCCACAGGACGCTCACATGGCCCTGAGTTCTCATGTTGCCACTCAGAGACCCTGCACAGAGATTCCCAAAGAGCCGCCCCACGCAAGACCATGCAGAGACACCTTCACAGACCTTCCACAGAGCCCTCACACACAGGCCTCTCAGGCACATCCTGTGCCCCCACAGGCCCTGACACTGAACCTACCACAGAGTTTTCCCATGGGGCCTCCTCATAGAGGCCTGACAGGCAGACCTCCTACCAAGACTTCTCCCAGACACCCCATATAGAAGCCACAGAGAGTTGTCCCTGCCCCATAGTCCATCCATGCAGACCTCACATGGAAACTTTCTAGGGCACTCCAGATGGAAATCTCACAGGGAGTCTTCACAGAGACCTCACTTGGGCTTCTTTCCAGAAACAAGGCACAGAGACCTCATACAAACATGTCACACATCTTTAGGAGCCTGATCAGCCACTTTGACAGGTCCTTCCCTGATGAGATGGAATCACTGAGCAAACTGGCAGCACAGGCAGGATTATCATGAGATGTCCCCCTGAGGACCCCAAGACACACAGACACTGTCAGCATCTCACCAGATCGCATCCTGTGCCAGGGGAAATGGTCACAATGTCGTTTCTTTTGTAATGCCTTTTCCTCTGGGTGGGCTTTGGGGGAGCGGGAAGAATTACAGATCCTCTGTGCAGACCTCCAAAATCCTTTCTCTCACAGGGTTTTCCCATTAGCATGAAATATGGTCCACAAGTGTAGAGAATCACAAAATTCAAACATGAATAAAATTCAAACAAATAAATGATTGTCCACCTCCAAGGAAAGAAATACTTGATCTGTCCAAGTTGATATCATCCAGCAAATTTATAGCAGCGTCACCTTCCTTATTTCACTGAGGGAAAAGTCTGAACACGAGATGATTTGCTTCTCTGCTTTGGACATATGATAAAGACCCATAGCAAATGTACCTGAGACAGATTACAAACCAGCAAAGAGGGAACTAGGCTCA